ATCAGGGCTATGGGGAGAGAGAGTGGGAGTGGGGTTGATCAGGGCTATGGGGAGAGAATGGGGGAGTGGGTTTGATCAAGGCTATGGGGAGAGAGCGGGGCAGTGGGGTTGATCAGGACTATGGGAAGAGAGCGGGGGAGTGGGGTTGATCAGGGCTATGGGGAGAGAGCGGGGGACTGGGGTTGATGAGTGCTGTGGGGGGAGAGTGGAGAGTGGGTTGATCAGTGCTTTGGGGAGAGAATGAGGGAGTGGGTTGACCAGGGCAATGGGGAGAGAGCGGGAGAGTGGGGTTGATCAGGGCTATGGGGAGAGAACGGGGGATTGGGTTGACCAGGGCAATGGGGAGAGAGCAGTGGAGTGGAGTTGATTAGGGCTGTGGGGAGAGAGTGGAGGAGTGGGGTTGACAAGGGCTATGGGGAGAGAGTGGGGGAGTGGGATTGAAGAGTGCTGTGGGGGGAGAGTGGAGAGTGCGTTGATCAGTGCTGTGGGGCGAGAGAGGGGTAATGGAGTTGATCAGGGCCTTGGGGAGAGAGAGAGTGAGTGGGGTTGATCAGGGCTATGAAGAGAGAGCGGGGGAGTGGGCTGGATCAGGGCTATGGGGGGAGTGGGGTTGATCAGGGATGTGGGGAGAGAGAGGGGGAGTGGCGTTGATCAGGGCTATGGGGGGAGAGCGGTGGAGTGGGGAGATAGCGGGGGACTGGGGTTGTTCAGGATATGGGAAGAGAGTGGGGGAGTGGGGTTGGTCAGGGCTATGGGGAGAGAGTTGGGGAGTGGGGTTGATCAGGGCTATGGGGGAGAGCGGGGGAGTGGGACTGATCATGGCTATGAAGAGAGAGCGGGAGAGTGGGGTTGATCAGGTCGATGGGGAGAGAGCGGGGAAGTGGGGTGGATCAGGGCTATGGGGGGAGTGGGGTTGATCAGGATATGGGAAGAGAGTGGGGGAGTGGGGTTGTTCAGGGTTGTGGGGAGAGAGAGGGGGAGTGCGGTTAATCAGTGCTGTGGGGAGAGAGAGGGGGAGTGGGATTGATCAGGGCTATGGGGAGAGAGCAGTGGAGTGGGGAGATAGTAGGGGAGTGGGGTTGTTCAGGATATGGGAAGAGAGCGGGGGAGTGGGGTTGATCAGGGTTGTGGGGAGAGAGAGGGGGATTGCGGTTAATCAGTGCTGTGGGGAGAGAGAGGGGGAGTGGGGTTGATCAGGGCTATGGGAGAGAGCAGTGGAGTGGGGAGATAGTAGGGGAGTGGGGTTGTTCAGGATATGGGAAGAGAGCGGGGAGTGGGGTTGATCAGGGTTGTGAGGAGAGAGAGGGGGATTGCGGTTGATCAGGGCTGTGGGGAGAGAGAGGGGGAGTGGGGTGGATCAAGGCATTGGGGAGAGAGAGTGGGGGAATGGGGCTGATCAGGGCTATGAAGAGAGAGCGGGAGAGTGGGGTTGATCAGGTCGATGGGGAGAGAGCGGGGAAGTGGGGTGGATCAGGGCTATGGGGGGAATGGGGTTGATCAGGGCTGTGGGGAGAGAGCGGGGGAGTGGGGTTGATCAGGGCTATGGGGAGAAAATGGGGGAGTGGGGTTGATCAGGGTTATTGGGGAAGAGCAGGGGAGTGGGGTTGACCAGGGCAATGGGGAGAGAGCGGGGGAAAGTAGTTGATGAGAGCTTTGGGGAGAGAGCAGTGGAGTGGGGTTGATCAGGGCTGTGGGGAGAGTGCGGGGGAGTGGGGTTGATCAGGGCTACGTGGGGAGTGGGGTTGATCAGGGCTGTGGGGAGAGAGCGGGGGAGTGGGGTTGATCAGGGCTGTGGGGAGAGAGCGGGAGAGTGGGGTTGATCAGGGCTAGGGGGAGAGAGAGGGGGAGTGGGGTTGATCAGGGCCTTGGAGAGACAGAGAGGGAGTGGGGTTGATCAGGGCTGTTGGGGAGAGCGAGTGGGAGTGGGGTTGATGTGGGCTATGAAGAGAGAGCGGGGGAGTGTGGTTGATCAGGTCGATGGGGAGAGAGAGGGGGAGTGGGGTTGACCAGGGCAATGGGGAGAGAGGGGGGGAGTGGGGTTGACCATGGCAATGGGGTGAGAGCGGGAGAGTGGGGTTGATCAGGGCATTGGGGGGAGTGGGGTTGCTGAGGGCAAGGGTGAGAGAGAGGGGGAGTGGGGTTCATCAGGGCATTGGGGAGAGAGCGGGGGAGTGGGGTGGATCAGGGGTTTGGGGAGACAGTGGGGGAGTGGGGTTGATCAGGGCTATGGGGGGAGAGTGGGGGAGTGGGGTTGATCAGAGCTGTGGGGAGAGAGACGGGTAATGGGGTTGATCAGGGTTGTGGGGAGAGAGAGGGGGAGTGCGGTTAATCAGTGCTGTGGGGAGAGAGAGGGGGAGTGGGGTTGATCAGGGCTATGGGGAGAGAGCAGTGGAGTGGGGAGATAGTAGGGGAGTGGGGTTGTTCAGGATATGGGAAGAGAGCGGGGGAGTGGGGTTGATCAGGGTTGTGAGGAGAGAGAGGGGGATTGCGGTTGATCAGGGCTGTGGGGAGAGAGAGGGGGAGTGGGGTGGATCAAGGCATTGGGGAGAGAGAGTGGGGGAATGGGGCTGATCATGGCTATGAAGAGAGAGCGGGAGAGTGGGGTTGATCAGGTCGATGGGGAGAGAGCGGGGAAGTGGGGTGGATCAGGGCTATGGGGGGAATGGGGTTGATCAGGGCTGTGGGGAGAGAGCGGGGGAGTGGGGTTGATCAGGGCTATGGGGAGAGAACGGGGGAGTGGGGTTGATCAGGGTTATTGGGGAAGAGCAGGGGAGTGGGGTTGACCAGGGCAATGGGGAGAGAGCGGGGGAAAGTAGTTGATGAGAGCTTTGGGGAGAGAGCAGTGGAGTGGGGTTGATCAGGGCTGTGGGGAGAGTGCGGGGGAGTGGGGTTGATCAGGGCTACGTGGGGAGTGGGGTTGATCAGGGCTGTGGGGAGAGAGCGGGGGAGTGGGGTTGATCAGGGCTATGGGGAGAGAGAGGGGGAGTGGGGTTGATCAGGGCCTTGGAGAGACAGAGAGGGAGTGGGGTTGATCAGGGCTGTTGGGGAGAGCGAGTGGGAGTGGGGTTGATGTGGGCTATGAAGAGAGAGCGGGGGAGTGTGGTTGATCAGGTCGATGGGGAGAGAGAGAGGGAGTGGGGTTGACCAGGGCAATGGGGTGAGAGCGGGAGAGTGGGGTTGATCAGGGCTATAATAATAATAATAATAATAATAATACTTGCATTTGATATAGCGCTTTTCACGTCGGGAGGACGTCCCAAAGCGCTTCACAGAATATACTGTAAAGTGAATTGACTGTATATTTGTGGGCGAACGCGGCAGCCAATTGCGCACAGCAATGTCCCACAAACAGTCGTGGATTGAAAATGACCAATTTATTATTGTTTTTGGTGTAGGAGGGATTATTATTAGGCTCTGTGTGGAGTAAGGAAACTTGCCCGAGGTTTCGCCCTCTGCCTGGAATTGAACTCAGGTCTCTCACTTGCAAAGCGAGTGCTCTAACCACTGAGCTACAGGACTCCACGTAGGGACTATGGGGAGAGAGCGGGGGAGTGGGGTTGATCAGGGCTATGGGGAGAGAGAGGGGTAATGGGGTTGATCAGGGCCTTGGAGAGACAGAAAGGGAGAGTGGTTGATCAGGTCGATGGGGAGAGAGAGGGGGAGTGGGGTTGATCAGCGCTGTGGGGAGAGAGAGGGGGAGTGGGGTTGATTAGGGCTATGGGGGGAGTGGGGTTGATCAGAGCTATTGGGGAAGAGAGGGGGAGTGGGGTAGATCAGGGCTGTGGGGAGATAGCGGGGGTGGGGTTGATTAGGGCTATGGGGAGCGTGGAGTGGGGAGATAGTAGGGGAGTGGGGTTGTTCAGGATATGGGAAGAGAGTGGGGGAGTGGGGTTGATCAGGGTTGTGAGGATAGAGAGGGGGATTGCGGTTGATCAGGGCTGTGGGGAGAGAGAGTGGGAGTGAGTTTGACCAGGGCAATGGGGAGACTGAGTGGGAGTGGGGTTGATCAGGGCTATGGGGAGAGAGAGGGGGAGTGGGGTTGACCAGGGCAATGGGGAGACTGAGTGGGAGTGGGGTTGATCAGGGCTGTGGGTATAGAGAGGGCTAATGGGGTTGATCAGGGCCTTGGAGAGACAGAGGGACTGGGTTTGATCAGGGCTGTGGGGAGAGCGAGTGGGAGTGGGGTTGATCAGGGCTATGAAGAGAGAGCGGGGGAGTGGGGTTGATCAGGTCGATGGGGAGAGAGAGGGGGAGTGGGGTGGATCAAGGCTATGGGGGGAGTGGGGTTGATCAGGTCGATGGGGGAGAGGGGGAGTGGGGTGGATCAAGGCTAGGGGGGGAGTGGGGTTGATCAGAGCTATTGGGGAAGAGAGGGGGAGTGGGGTGGATCAGTGCTATGGGAAGAGCGCGGGGGAGTGGGGTTGATCAGGGCTGTGGGGAGAGAGAGGGGGAGTGGGGTTGATCAGGGCTATGGGAAGAGCGCTGGGGAGTGGGGTTGATCAGGGCTATGGGTCGAGAGCGGGGAGTGGGGTTGATTAGGGCTATGGGGAGCGAGCTGGGGAAGTGGAGTTGATCAGGGCTGCGGGGAGAGAGCAGGGGAGTGGGGAGATAGCAGGGGAGTGGGGTTGTTCAGGATATGGGAAGAGAGTGGGGGAGTGGGGTTGATCAGGTCTATGGGAAGAGAGAGGGGGAGTGGGGTTGATCAGGGCTATGGGGAGAGAGAGTGGGAGTGTGGTTGATCAGGGCTATGGGGGGAGAGCGGGGGAGTGGGGTTGATCGGGGCTATGGGGAGAGAGCGGGGGAGTGGGGTTGATCAGGGCTATGGGGAGAGTGCGGCGGAGTGGGGTTGATCAGTGCTGTGGGGAGAGAGAGGGTTAATGGTGTTGTTCAGGGCTTTGGGGAGAGAGAGGGGGAGTGGGGTTGACCAGGGCAATGGGGAGAGAGAGGGGGAGTGGGGTTGACCATGGCAATGGGGAGAGAGAGGGGGAGTGGGGTTGACCATGGCAATGGGGTGAGAGCGGGAGAGTGGGGTTGATCAGGGCTATGGGGAGAGAGAGGGGTAATGGGGTTGATCAGGGGCTTGGAGAGACAGAGAGGGAGTGGGGTTGATCAGGGCTGTTGGGGAGAGCGAGTGGGAGTGGGATTGATGAGGGCTATGAAGAGATAGCGGGGGAGTGTGGTTGATCAGGTCGATGGGGAGAGAGAGGGGTATTGGGGTTGATCAGGGTTGTGAGGAGAGAGAGGGGGATTGCGGTTGATCAGGGCTATGGGGTAGAGAGGGTGAGTGGGGTTGATCAGGGCTGTGGGGAGAGAACGGGGGAGTGGGGTTGATCAGGGCTATGGGGGGAGTGGGGTTGATCAGAGCTATTGGGGAAGAGAGGGGGAGTGGGGTAGATCAGGGCTGTGGGGAGATAGCGGGGAGTGGGGTTGATTAGGGCTTTGGGGAGCTTGCAGTGGAGTGGGAAGATAGTAGGGGAGTGGGGTTGTTCAGGATATGGGAAGAGAGTGGGGGAGTGGGGTTGATCAGGGCTGTGGGGAGAGAGAGTGGGAGTGGGTTTGATCAGGTCGATGGGGAGAGAGAAGGGGACTGGGGTAGATCAAGGCTACGGGGGGAGTGGGGTTGATCAGGGCTATTGGGGAAGAGCGGGGGAGTGGGGTGGATCAGAGCTATGCGGAGAGAGCGGGGGAGTGGGGTTGATCAGGGTTGTGAGGAGAGAGCGGGGGAGTGGCGTTGATCAGGGCTATGTAGGGAGAACGGGGGAGTGGGGCTGATCAGGGCAATGGGGAGAGAGCGGTGGAGTGGGGTTGATCAGGGCTATGGGGAGAGAGAAGGTGAGTGGGGTTGATCAGAGCTATAGGGAGAGAGCGGGGGAGTTGGGTTGATCAGGGCTATGGCTTGAGAGCGGGGAGTGGGGTTCACCAAAGCTTTGGTAGAGAGGAGTAGTGGGGTTGATCAGGGCTATAGAGAGCGGGGAGTGGGTTTGACCAGGGCTGTGGGGAGAGATCGGGGAAGTGGGGATGATCAGGGCTATGGGTAGAGAGCGAGGAGTGAGATTGATTCGGGCTGTGGGGAGAGAGCGGGAGAGAGGCATTTATCAGGGCAATGGGGAGAAAGCGGGGGAGAGGGGTTGATCAGGGCTCCGGAGAGAGAGCGGGGGAGTGGCGTTGATCAGGGCTGTGGGGAGAGAGTGGGGGAGTGGGGTTGATCAGGGCTATGGGGGGAGAGAGTGGGAGTGGGGTTGATCAGTGCTATGGGGAGAGAGCAGAGAGTGGGGTTGATCAGCGCTGTGGGGAGAGTGCGATGGAGTGGGATTGATCAGGAAATGGGGAGAGAGTGGGGGAGTGGGGTTGATGAGGGCTATGGGGAGAGAGCGGGGGAGTGGGGTTGATGAGGGCTATGGGGAGAGAGCGGGGAGTGGGGTTGATGAGGGCTATGGGGAGAGAGCGGGGGAGTGGGGTTGATGAGGGCTATGGGGAGAGAGTGGGGGAGTGGGGTTGATGAGGGCTATGGGGAGAGAGTGGGGGAGTGGGGTTGATGAGGGCTATGGGGAGAGAGTGGGGGAGTGGGGTTGATGAGGGCTATGGGGAGAGAGTGGGGGAGTGGGGTTGATGAGGGCTATGGGGAGAGAGTGGGGGAGTGGGGTTGATGAGGGCTATGGGGAGAGAGTGGGGGAGTGGGGTTGATGAGGGCTATGGGGAGAGAGTGGGGGAGTGGGGTTGATGAGGGCTATGGGGAGAGAGTGGGGGAGTGGGGTTGATGAGGGCTATGGGGAGAGAGAGGGTGAGTTGGGTTGATGAGGGCTATGGGGAGAGAGTGGGGGAGTGGGGTTGATGAGGGCTATGGGGAGAGAGTGGGGGAGTGGGGTTGATGAGGGCTATGGGGAGAGAGTGGGGGAGTGGGGTTGATGAGGGCTATGGGGAGAGTGGGGGAGTGGGGTTGATGAGGGCTATGGGGAGAGAGTGGGGGAGTGGGGTTGATGAGGGCTATGGGGAGAGAGTGGGGAGTGGGGTTGATGAGGGCTATGGGGAGAGAGTGGGGGAGTGGGGTTGATGAGGGCTATGGGGAGAGAGTGGGGGAGTGGGTTAACTTGGAAGCTCTTTTCAAAGAGCCGACACAGACTGAATGGTCCAAATGACCTCATTCTGTGGTGTATAATTCTCTGATTGTGTGAATGTTTCCATTGGTAGAAAGTGTTTGGTGGTGTCCCACAGGGATCAGTATCCGGGTCTGTTTTGGTCTCTCGGCCGATATTGATGGGATTGGGCAGATATGTTGTCAATGTAATTTTATTCAGAAAAATAACAATTGTAATTTTTTCCTCATCACATTGTTAAAACAACAATTATCTTTGGTTTGTGAGCTCGGTTCTGCCGCAGTGATCTGAATTACACATTCCCCAAACGGGAATGAGTGTGTTGTCACCCAGACACACAGCTCCAACACACACACAGCAGCCCCCCCGCACACACAGCCCCACCCCATGCACTGCCCACCCACTGGCATACAGCTCCCCCACACATACACAGCCAACCCCCACACCCCCCCCCACTCCCATACACACATAAAACAACGCGTTCCCCCACCCCTTGTGGAGGTAGGAGCACCTGCACCGATTGAGGGGGTGACTGCTCTATCTACAGCAATGGCTCGAGGTGGGGGGGGCCTTTCCTGCAGCAGTGACATGAAGTTGGGGGGCAGTTTCCAGCTTTGCCGTAATTTAACCACAGGATGATGATCCATTAATTCACTCTCTACCTCTCCCCCCCCCCCCCCTTTCTGGGGAGAGTGTGACAGACTGTGGGATTGCGAACATTGTGGTTTGGTTACAGGCCAATGTCCCTGTGCACTACAAATACATTACACACAATTCCTACATCCATTAACATTTGTGAGGACACTCAATAATAATCATAACAATCCTTGCATTTGATACAGTGCCTTATCACGTTGTTGAGACGTCTCAAACGCTTCACAGGATACACTGTAAAGTGGATTGACTGTATATTTTGTTGGAGAAAGACGGCAGCCAATTGCGCGCAGCAATGCCCGACAAACAGCATGGAGTCAGTGACCAATTTTTTTTATTTGGGGGATTGATGGCCAGATCACCGGGAAAAACTCTTCTCTTTTCGATTAGTGCCAAAGATCTGAACGGGCAGATGGACCACGAGGTAACATCTCATCCAAAGACAACATCTCTGACAATGCAACACACCCGAGCTCTGCAACACACCCGAGCTCTGCAACACACCCGAGCTCTGCAACACACCCGAGCTCTGCAACACACCCGAGCTCTGCAACACACCCGAGCTCTGCAACACACCCGAGCTCTGCAACACACCCGAGCTCTGCAACACACCCGAGCTCTGCAACACACCCGAGCTCTGCAACACACCCGAGCTCTGCAACACACCCGAGCTCTGCAACACACCCGAGCTCTGCATTCACGTCTCAGCTTAGACAATGTGATTCCAAGTCTCAACGTGGGGCTTGAACTCACAACCTTCTGACTCAGGCAACAGTGCACAGTGTTACCACTGCACCAGCCTCACACACAAACCATTCCCCCACAAAGAGATCCACCAATCCAATAACAGTCGGGTTCTTACTTACTGCTCATTAAACAGAGGGATTTGAAGTAAGAAAACTTTCCTAAGGTTTCTCCCTGCCGGGAATTGAACCCGGGTCCTCTCGTTTGCTTCTGCCAGATCATCCTTCTCAGCACCAGCTACAGCGTGCAGCTCAGCACGTAGCAGCGCTCCAGCCTCTCATACACACACGCACAGCCTCATACACACACACACACACAGCCTCATACACACACCACACACACACAGCTTCATACACACATACACACTCACAGCCTCACACACACTCACAGCCTCACACACACACAGCCTCACATAGCCTCACACACACAGCCTCACACAGCCTCACACACGCACACAGCCTCACTCACACTCACACACATAGCCTCATACACACGCACACACACGCAGTCTCACACACACACACAGCCTCATACACACACACAGTCTCACACACACACCACACACACACAGCTACATACACACTCACAGCCTCACACACACTCACAGCCTCACACACACACAGCCTCACACAGCCTCACACACACACACAGCCTCACACAGCCTCACACACGCACACAGCCTCACTCACACTCACACACATAGCCTCATACACACGCACACACACGCAGTCTCACACACACACACAGCCTCATACACACCCACACACACAGCCTCATACACACACCACACACACACAGCTACATACACACTCACAGCCTCACACACACTCACAGCCTCACACACACACAGCCTCACACAGCCTCACACACACACAGCCTCACACAGCCTCACACACACACACAGCCTCACTCACACTCACACACATAGCCTCATACACACGCACACACACGCAGTCTCACACACACACACAGCCTCATACACACACACAGTCTCACACACACACAGCCTCACACAAAGTCTCACACACACACACAGCCTCACACAGTCACAAAGGTGGCCATTAGGGTCAGGGCTACAAATGCTTCACAGGATGTTACTGTAAAGTATTGTGGCTGTGTATTTGTGGGAAAGCACAACAGCCAATTTCCATACAGGAATAGCCCACAAACTGCCATAAAGTGAATGGGGGATTATTGGTCAGGACTCCAGGAGAAACTGAACCAAATGAGCCCTGTGGACACTGAAAATACTGTACATCCAATATGGCTGCTCTGTCTCTGACAAGACACATGAGCTACACTCAACAGTGATTATTGATAAAGTGCTTATGACATTCTGACATTGTATGCACAGTAAAATTGCAAGGATTATTATGGCTAACAATGGAATTGATGGATTCCTTATGATCAGGAAGAAGCCATTCATTCAGTCCATAATGTGCCCCCCATTAAATTTAGCTCTCAAATTTCATTTAATCAGCCTTTTCTGCATAACTCGTACAATATCTTTACTTACCAA